ATGCTTTTCAAAACTTATCCATCAAAGTCCCCATTTCCAGTAGTGGAATCATACATTCCAAAAGCAATTCCCATCAACTGGAGGCCATACTTTGGAAGCACTAGCTGTACTCGCAAAGCTCCTTATTTCAACAGTACGTTGGTCTATCCAGCAACTAAAAAGTATAGTATCCACTGTATAGACTTCAACTACTACGTTTAGTTCTTACCTAAAAATCAATATATTAATGAAAATAGAAAGATGGCAAAAAAGAAGAGGAATATCTCTCTGGAGCATTTTAAAACCTCATTGGAAACAAGGGAGTTCTGTAACTAAGGAAGTAAGTATACTGACATACTACTTAGAGAGACAATGAAAGAAATATATATTGATTGAGTACAATTGGCATGGGTCTGAAATAGAGCTGCAAAAACTTTTAAAGGCAGAGATAAAGCCTGATGTTTGACGGTAAGCAAGACATGAATGTATTGTAATTGAACCTATTCAGAAAAGCTACAGAATACCCAAGGTTACTAGAGTAACTACTTGTTCCTATAAGGCAAGAATGAGATTTTATTTTTGTGAATATCACATATTACCATATGTCATGCATTATATTAGGGGAAACGGCTGCAAAAGTCATTCTGCAATCAGAGCTGGGGCCCAATATTTGGATGACTGTATGAAATATCATGACCTGCTGGTCAGACCAGATGAACTCACCCGTCTCTTCTGGCCTTAAAAACTTAAAAAATCCTCTGAACTGAAACATCCATCTAGGTAAGTGATTTTGTTCTAAAACTCCCATTTAAAGACATGGGAAAAACAACATGGCACAGCAAAGAAATTAAATCTTTGAACTTCTGTAGCCACTTCTATCTGAAGTTTTACTTACATACACATATGCAAGATGTGCATGACACACACAACCCCATTTCCAAGAGTACTAACACCTCACATATAAATTCACTTAAGTCATGTTTTCCAGACTAGTTTTAAACACAATTTCTTGACAGAGAAGTAGCTTTCTAATGGGAAAATGGGTAAATATTTAGAAGTAATAGAAGCTACTTTATTAAAAAAATGTGAGCATTACAAATCCAAAATAAGTATCTTTATTTGAAATAGGTAGTTAAAAAGGATTCGGAAGAAATATTAAACATTACACAACTTTTTCTTTGCAAAAGTTTTCTGAAAGGGAAAGAGGTGTTCTCTGAAACAGCCTACTACTAAAATGGTAAAGGAAACTAGCCACAGGCAACCTAAACCAAATGTATGATACTATTTCTGACTGGAATATAGTTGTTGGTGTTTCAAGATGAATCTCACCCTTAGGAAGTCATTTTATCTTGTGTTGTCCAAGTGTTTTTACTAAAAGAATCTGCCAAAACAAGCCTCTGTTAGGTCACTGTCACCACGTTCAACCTCAGCTTCTAAGGGAGCAGCTTCTGTATGCCAAGAACCAAAGTATTGCGTATGACATACAGCTGGAGACTTCTAGGAAATGCATCAGCTTACAACATGCTTACATCTACATGCTCACTCAACAGATCCTTTCAAACAGCATTATCAATAGCTCTCTTCCTAAATTTTTTTAACACTGAGTGGGATCAGAAGTCTCTTGCACAGGTGGAAATTCCCAATCAGAAATGTATCACGCTTTTTGTGGAAGAAATAGCTGTACCTATCACATGTGTTCTCATAAATCAGAGTTCCAGTATCACACATTGCTTGTTGAATATTTTTCCCATATTTACAGAAACAAACACAGATGACAAAGCAGAAACAAATGGCCTTACGTTCTCTAAAACCCATGAAGCACTGGGCCAAATGCGTTTGCTAGTACATGGTAAGAAGAAAAAAAAATAAAAATCCTTTTTCATACAGATGTTTCAACACAACTTGATTTCTGTTTAAAGAACTTGATGCAGACTGTCTAAGAACAAACAGACAGACAAAAAAGGCCCAACAGCTCTCACTTTCTCAGAAGTTATTAACCCTTCCTCTTTGCGAGGACAGGTCTAAAACACTGAAACCAAAGCTCAGTGCCTGACATTTTAACCTCACGGTTTCTCAGACATGCAGTGCATGATTCTGACCTCTAATCCAGCTGTGTCTGCTGACCTTTTAGAAAGTTAGCAACAAAGAGAAATTAAAAAAAAATCATGATTCATTCTTTATCCATCACTTCTTCTCAACTGCATCTCAGAAGTCTGAAACCTGAAAGGGATTCAACATGCATGCCCACAGGTAAAATACAAAATATACACTAAAGCAAGGAATTTGGGGTTTTCGTTTCCTAAAATCAACCTGACTTGTCAACATCGGCATACAGGCTTCAATTTCTACTTTGACAGAAATCCCCCACTTGAAAAGCATGTGGCTATACCTTCTGATCCAGTCATGACCAGCACAAATGCCACTTTATGTTTGACACAGCAAGCACAGCTTTTCAGATCAAATACTTTTTTCAAACCCCACAAGTCTCCTCAAAATACGACAGCACAGGGATATCTGTTCTTCGAGCTAAGCACTGCAAAGCTTCTTGTTTTGAGAACTTTGCGAACATTTATGTTTCACATAGGACATTTAAGTAGAACAAATAAAGACAACATCTATGACCTTTCTGCATATTCCATGTATCCCACCCTCTGCAAAGACTGCAAGCACCTATTACAGTCATCAGTACCATAAATCCTGCAATCCCTCAAAGATACCATTCTAGTTATTTCATGAGAAGTAACACACGAAATTGCCACAAATGTTTCAGAGAATTAAAAAAATAAGGAAACTTCTTAAACATCAGCACAGATGAAGAAAACGTAACCAATTTGATTTATTCATTATGAACTTACCTTTTTCTTTAGTAGCAATACTTTTGACTAATTGTCTGTGTTCCTATTTCTAAAACTCTATGTATATTTTCACCTACAAAGGGCACTAACACAAATTCACATGCCAGGCAGTAAATCATTTCCTCCTTCTAAAAAGCAGAGGGTTACTGACCTGAACCATCAGTTAGAAACTTACTTCATTTACTCCCCTAATGCAGAATCAGTGTCATGGATTTCAGCTGCCTGAAGGACACAGTGGTGACCTTACCTAGAATTGTTCCAACAGAACATTACAGAAGTTTGTCAAGACATGCAGCATTGTGGGGAATAGAAAAAGCTCAAAAGTAGGCTTGTATGCATTTGGTTGTTTTGGTTTGTTGATTTGGTTTTTTTTTGTTTGGTTAGTTGGTTGGTTTGGGAGGTTTTTTGGCTGGTTGTTTCTTTTTTTCCAAAATCTTCAATATACATAAAAAAAAGAAAAAAAGAATATTGAAGTTTACTTAACAATAGCTGTGAAAGTCGGGTACCCTGTACCCCTGTAACTCAAGAGATTATCCTGTTAGCAGTACCTTTTGTTAGCTGGCTAAGCTGTTCTTGGAGATAACAGAATGCAGAATTCCTTTGTTACAGGCTCCTTCTTGCTGGGGTTCACAGGCATCGGAAATCACTTTGCTGATATTTTACTACTTAAAATCCATCTAATCTAGTGGATTCAGCACCAATTCACCCCAGTACTCAATTCACTGATTTATGGGGATGGAAGGTTCAGCTTCAAAATACATGACCAGGTATAAACTATAAATATCACCACAAAACCCAACAACAGAGAAGAACCCTTCACTATTCAATACCGTATTTCACACTGTAAAAGCAGATGCAGCATATCTTCTGCCTATGTAACTTCCCTGTACATTTTTTCAACATTAGAGAGTCAAAAGCTAAGACAGATATTTTTCCTCAAAAACACAGTAACCCAGGTTGAAACCCTGGCACTGAACAGAGGTACAGGCTGAAACATTACTGGTACATGCCCAAGTAATGTTATTGTCCCATAAGAGAATATGCATAAAAACATCTAAATCATGGGTAATTCCAATACAACAACATGCCATGGGTTTTAAGACAAAAACCCATGCTACAAGCTTGCTTTCTTGCACTCCTGTTTTCAGAACCAGACAATACAAGTAACTTTTACCACCCAAAAGAGACAACTGCTACACATTAAAAAGAAAAAAATAAAAGCAAGGTCATAATTTTTATAAAAGCCCAAGGGCTGAACAGCTATTACTCCGATGGCAATATTATAAGCTGAATTCATGCATTGATTTTACTAAAGAAGCAGTGAATGATCACAACTTTATAGTTCGAGAACGAATTTAGACACCATCAGCAAGGAGAAAGCTGACTAAAAGCAGGTATCTTTTAACGTCTCTCTTTTGGATACCTACTGCTGCTGTTGAGCCAAATGAGGGAGCGATGGAAACCAGGAGTTTTCATGACCTGGGATATTAACCATCTCCTGATGTACAAAGAAGCACTAAACAAAATCTCATACACTCGGCACACAAAAATTTATAGTGAAACGTCCAAACCTGTCTTATAAGAATCAAGCAGAGAATCATACTAAAGACCTTTCTTTCCAAAATTTCTAACACCTTTGATTTTAATCATATGAAGCTGAAATCCTCCATCCCTACTCAAGTTTGTCCTAAAATAATCTCACATCAGGTTTAAAAAAACAAACAAAAACCTAAACAAAACAAACAAACAAAAAACCCCATATATATGTTACATTTTAAAAATCATAGGTTTCTTATAAATCCCTTTAACTAAAAAGTCTAGGACAACACATCTTCTTCACAACTACTAATTTGTCTATAGTTTTTATATGCCACGGTTAAATGCTCTAAGTCCACATGCAGATTGCCAACAAGAAAAGGAGAGATCTCTGAAAACCACTATTCACAGTAAGAGTGAAAATGGAGAATAACATGAACTATTAAGATTATATTAAATTCATTGTAGGACAGCACATGGAAGTATACTGAGACACAAATAAATATTTAACATTCTTTGCAATGTGCATGTGTGAACAAAATTATTCAGATACCACCTATGAAACCTCTGTAAAAAAAAGACTGAATCATATTATTGTTTTTCTAGCTTGCGGATGAAGCACTTGCATACCTGTTCCTTAACTGAAGCTAGAATGGCAGAGGTGGTCTCAGTTTCAGAGCCATCACCATTAGATGTGTTCAACACAGGACTAAGGGAACTTGTCTTGTCAGAAGACGAGGGCTGGTCTGGAACAGGCATAGTTTCTGCAGTTGATAGAAAAACAAAACAATGATTTTGTTATTAGAAACCTGATACGTATCATAAATCATATGCATATAAGAATAACAAAACTAGTTCAAGGAAAAAATTCTTATGTTCTGTAATATAATCTATCACTTATTTAAAATTAAAACTAGTCCTAAATTAATTATAAAACAAAATATTAAATGATCTCCCAGTCTTATTCCAAAATATTCACCACAGTACATTTGGAGGAGATTCAAACCATTTACAGCTACGATTTTTGCATAGTGTTCCAGTGGCAGCATCCAACATGAAATTACAGTATCATGAAAGTAATGAATCATGAAATGCTTTGCAAACAGAAACCCAAGAAATTATACATGACAGAAAACTAAAACATCTAATGTTGACTCTCTAACATGATGATTATTTAATATTTATTATATTTTGAGCCTAGGCAACCAGCTGTGCCTTTCTTCTAGTCTACAAGGTGATTTTGACAACATTTTATCAGAGTATTTTTGAGAAAAACAGCATACCAGTTGTTAAGCCATTTTGAGACATGTTGCAAAAAAGATACTTAGTACTGGAAGGCATTTCTAGTATTCATTTTTAGAGAGCAAATGTCTGTGTGACTGTGGAAAAAATTTATCTTTCTGAAGGCTAAGTTACAGGGTAGCATCTCTGTTTAAATGTCACTACAGGCACATCTCAGCAGGCAAGTTGTTCCACATTCCAGAATTCAAGGAGCAGAGAGGCAGCTTGCATGGTTATGCAAAGGCAAGTTAGGATAAGGTCATGTTCATGTGGGAGCTGGCCAGAATTACTCTGTGGGAGAAAACTGGCCCACAGGCTGCCTGCTGGATGGGCCCCCTGAAGAGCAGTGGGGATATTCAGAGGGATGTCACCAGAAGAGTCATATACGCACAGCACTCCCCATTCACATCAATGGCAAAAATCCTGCCCTGGCTCCATTCTTATTTTCAAAGCTCATGTTTTCATAAAGTGTAACTTTTTCTGGATGAAATAAGAAGTCGGAGAACAGTGGGAAAGGATAGTTGGTAAAAGCAAATATAAATTGTAATACCCACAGCAAGCATCCCCACATCAGTCTGCCATAGGGCTCTAAAAGAAGGGGAGATGACTCTGAAGCCACAGCGCTACCCAAGAACACTCACTCAGCTCAGATAGGTAGCCTTTTCCAAAATCTCCCTGAAGCTCAGGGCACTGTCATAAATACGTAAGACAAAAACATGAAAATACAGACTGTTCATCAAAAAGTCAGTTATTTCTCATAAGAGAAATCTCTCTAAATCTCAAGCCAGATTAGTTTATATATTGAAGCATGATATTAAACATAGTTTTAATTAAAGAAGCTATGTATTTTCATATGGCTTCATTTCACAGTTTTTGTAAGCACATCACCTGAAGTGGCTCTGGCAATATCCCTGAGTAGATATGTACACTATTCAAAGTTTATCTTTAAAAATTGAGATGATACACCCGTGTCTGTCACAAGTGCAAGTATACAGTACAAAACCTCTGTATGATTCCAATACATCAATCTAAAAGGACTTTCGAGGTGTATTTTCACATTTTTTGCAAGACAGGAATCAGCTTATATTGTAACAAGTTATGCAGTTTGTGGCACACTGCTTAAGTTGCTACTGTCTTGTAAAGTACTACATAAAAGATATGCACACACATTCATATACACTTACTCTATTACCTTACTTTCCAACAATCTGTTTTTTAAATTATTAACTCCAATATTATAATAGAAAACATTTTCTTCTCAGTATCGTAAGTTATTCAATAAAATAAAAACCAGCCTAACAGTTCTAGGATAGCTGTAAAAGAGACCCACTGAGGTGCTGAATAGTGTCCAGAAAAGGCAGTAAAACTGGTGAAGGGTCTGGAGCACAAGTCTTACGAGGAGCAGCTGAGGGAACTGGGGTTGCTCAGTCCAGAGAAAAGGAGGCTCAGGGGGGAACCTTATCGCTCTCTACAACTACCTGAAAGGAGGCTGTAGCGAGGTGGGGGGCAGTCTCTTCTCCCAAATAACAAGCAATAGTAAAAGAGGTAACGGCTACAAGCTGCACCAGGGGAGGTTTAGACTGGGTATTAGGATACATTTATTCAAAGAGAGGGTGATCATGCATTGGAACAGGCTGCCCAGGGCAGTGGTGGAATCACCATCCCTGGAAGTGTTCAAAGACCATGTAGATGAGGCCCTTAATGATACAGTTTAGTGGTAGTCTAGCAGACTGGGAGTAATGGGTGGACTTAAAGGTCTATTCCAACCTAGTTGATTCTGTGAAAACACTGGAGCACAACACTCCTGGCTATCAACCGCATGCCCTGTAAAGTCCAGCTGAAAACTGTGCACAAGAACAAGCAAGACCACAGGATTCAGGAACATGAGTAAGGACACATCAAGCAGTCCTGTTGCCTTTGCAGACACCCTCTCTGGGCAGTAGGAAGCCATGCTTCCCAGTCAGGACAGCTCACAAGGGAGACACTGGAATTGTAACAGCATGAGCTGTGAAGAACTGCCTCCCCAAGCCAGCACTGGTAGTGGTGGAAATCTCAGAGCTGTGAATGATGCTCCTAATAAATAATCTCAGACACAGCGGCTGAGAGCAGCTCCCTGATGTAGGACTGCTTTTCTCTGCAGTTGTGAAGAAGCTTCCAGGAAGAAGCCCCTTTGTCTGCTTCGCTCATCCTCCTGCTCCTCCAGGCAGCCGGACTGCAGCAGGGAGACTGCTGACTCCACTGTTTCATAAATACTGGCCTGAGGAGATAAAATCCAGCAAACTAAGCCAGACTAAGTCAGCAACTCCTTTGTCCTGCTCCCAGCTCCACAAACCATTGTCAACTGAGGTCCGTTTAAGTTCTTCACCTGAAAAATGACCCACCTGCTGCCCCCAACCCCAGCTCCCTACCACAGCACACCGTTACTGGACCTGACTGGAAAGACACAAAACCACCAGGAAGTAAAACTTGTAGGGGTTTAGTAAGTGTTTATGTTCTGGGGTTGAGCTGCTGCGCTTGTGTTGGAAGACCTCACTCATCACCTCACAAAGGGACTAAGTCTAGCATATAGTGAGTGGACAGGACACCAGGATGGGTAAAAGTGTCTTCTCTGTGTGTTCATTTAATTGAATGTCTTACTTATTTCTCAATACCAAATTTAGGACTTTAAAGCTTATGTTAATTTGCATATATCAAATTAAGTGAAATTCCCTGACACAAAGTATTTGGCCTGTGACACTCCCAAAGAGCAAATCCAAATGAGACCCTCTGAGGCATGGTGTGTTTCTGTTGCTAAGTTTTCAGGAAGAGGGGGGGAAATGAGCCTGCCCGAGCTGCTGTGAAAAAAATAATTATCTGCTACAAAGAATACTTGCCCTAACACTAACACTCAAAAATTAAAGTGTATTTGAGAGGGACAGCAAGGCTGCATGGTCAACAGAGAAGACCCTCTGTGCCAGAAAGATGCTATCAATAAGATGACACTGTTACCTGTGTGTTCAGAACAATTACATTTGTGCAATACAGGCAGCCACTGCCTGCTGCTGTGCTGAACTTGTTTGGGGACTGTATTCAGTATCAGTAAATTTTAATTTTTAGGCTGTAAATTTTTGTAAACACTTTGTTTCCACCAGAGAACACTTCAAAACTGCTTTAGTAATCTACACTTTTGCAACTACCAGTTTAAAAAAAACTGGGAAAAAACAATCTGATTGCACAATCAGCTGCTGCAATAAACTGTACTAGTATCATTGAACGTACAGCATGATGTTATCCAGCTGAGCTGCTAACATTACATATTTTAACATCTTTGCATTACACAAATTCACGTGAGAAATGCCACACAGGAAACACAGACTGAGTTTTCAGAGGCAGAAGAGAAGGTACTGTACCAAGGGTAGTTACATTAAAAAAATCATACACAAGTCAGCAGTAGGATTTCAACAGCAAACACCAACATACCAAAGGCCCGCATTTGCCCTAGTCCACCCAGTCAGAGATAGACGTTAAATTTACATCAGTCTTCAGTATAAAAAATTGGACATTCTCGGGTTTTAATGGAACTCAAAGCTGCCAGTACCAGAGATTTATGGAAAATAAGGCTGAAATGGGCCTCCAAGCCCCTGGACCACTACCTAATCTCTAGTCAAGGCAGATTTTTTTTTTCCCTAAGTCATTCTGGACATTTACTACACATAAGCAGTCCTTCACAACTTCCCTCACTGCAGCATCCCCTTGGCCACTTCCCTCTGTTCGGCGCTCCAGCAGCCTTACAAGTAGAAAATTTGCTTTAGTGTTTACCATAGTACACTTAAGCTTAGTGCTTCCTGCGCTGCCCACCATGGGCACGAAACACTGATTATCCCATCAGCCCTCTTCAGAAAAACATTATCCCACATGATGATGAACACCATTGAACTACTTCTGCTCCAGCTTCTCTCTAGACAAGCCACCCCAATTCTTTTACCTATTCCTCATAAAATAAGCTGGCTGATAGCCTTTTAACCCGCACTCCTGGGAGCTTAACACTAAAAACAGGAAAGAAAATTTGAGCAAGCATGAGAAGAACAATAAAAATTAAGCTGCTTATCAAAGTACATCATAGCTGAGTGTACAACCACAACACAGAAGTAAACCTGCTGCATTTAACTGCCACAACAGCAACAGTATTTCCTACCAGTGTCACAAAAATACAAGTGAGATTCTGTAAGTTAGAGCATGTACACGCTCCTGAGAGAATCAAATTAAAAACTTAGACAATCATAGAGAGATGAACAGGAAGAATACAACCAGCCTATTGGGAACATACTGGGAAGTCAGACATAAATAATTCAAGGGTTCCTGTACTCCACAGCACTGGCAAAATTCTAACTGGAGTTTGATTTTTTTGTGGTTGTTTTGTGGTTTTTCTTTTGGTTGTCTTCTAAAACCATTTAAAAACTTTACCTCACCTTAACTAAAAAAACCAACCGTATAAATCCAAACA